CCCTGATCCAAACCAGGACCACTGTACTTGGGAAGTGGAGGTTTACTCTTTTCTCCCAGAATTTTCTCCGGCCTACTGCAGTTAAGAAAAGAAGGTAGGATGGAAATTTCCATTAGCATCAATGCAGGCAGATTGCATTATTACTCTTGAAAAGCTATCAGGGCTAGAAATGTGAACCTTCAGCTCTCTGTGTTGTGTAAATTTATCATCTGTGGTGAGTCACTTTACCTGAGCTGCACATCAAAAGATTCCTTAAGCTATTAGTTCTTGGAAGCTCCAGAGTGACTTCACCCTCCTTGACAACCTATTGTTTTCCCCTGACCCGATTAAAATCCTCTAACACCATAATTCCGTGCATTTCTCTTGAGAAGTAAACCTCACTGAGTTTAATCTGATTTACTACTAGTTGTGTGTGCACAGGATTATAGCTTGGGTCAATCTTTAGCTGGGCAACAATCATAGGAAAAAGGTTCATAAGAAAAGCCCTGAAAATGATCTGTTTTGATCGTTAACATTCTGCTTCCTATAATGGAGAAAAAGATGTCTCTGGAAGGTCCATAACCAGGACTTGATGGCAATAGCCATTTACTATTCTTGCTTTGGCAATTATTATATAGATATATCTTCCAAGGTATCTCTCCTTTAAAACCATCTAAGATAATAGAGAACATCTTATCATTTGTTGCAAATTCCATAAATTAATACAAGGAAAATGGTAAACAATGTATAGTACAATCATTTGGTAGAGAATGTTCAGACATGTGTGAGTGTTTAATTCATAGATTAACCCAAGCACAGAATGTAAGTTTAATATTTTATTATATTTTTCAGACAATTAAGGAAGTCTTCCATAGTACACTTATATGTACTATGTATGTCTATTAAGGAGGAAGCACATAGCAAGCAAGGCTAGCAGCCACTGATAGCTTCCTCTTCCATGAATTTCTCCAATCCCCTTTTAAAGTCATCCAAATTGGTGGCCATCAGCACTTACCATAGAAACAAATTCCATTACTTAACTATACATTGTGTTCAGAGGTATTTTCCTTTATCTGTCCTAAATTGCCCACCATGGATTGACCCTGGGTATTAGTGTTATAGGAGAGGGAGAAAAATCTCTCCCTCTCCACATATGCATTTTTAAACCATCTCGATTATGTCTCCCCTTACTTGCCTTTTTTCCCTAAGTTAAACGGTTCCAGTTGTTGTAGCTGCTCCTCAGTGGAGAGCAGAATTGTATGCAGTAGGGCTGGTTTGCACATGTTCATTCACCTAGACTAGGGGTCTCAAACTCGCAGCCCGCGGGCCAATTGCCGGGATGGGTGGGGCACAGGGAGGGGCCCTGCGGCCTTCAGAGCGCTGGCGGCACCTGGGTCGGCCGCGGGATGAGCGGCCCAGCACCGCCGTGGTGGTGGAATACTTGATGCGTCCCAGCCTCACCCAGACTCTACTTCCAGCAGCCCCCAGGTAAGTTGAGTTTGAGACACCTGACCTAGACTTTTGGCTCTTATAGGAGCAAGAAGAGAAAACCTAGACCTTATCCACTGAACTTCACTTCCACTGAAAAGATCCCTTAAGTCTGCACATACACCAGGGCTTCTCACTCAAAGAATGACTTCAGGCAATTAAGGGTTGGCCCATGAGACCTTAGAAATTAGGTCATTTTCCTTTGTATCACACAGCAGCATTACACTAGCATCATTAATCTCTGTTCCCTACTATAGACTGTTCTGCAGAGCAACATGCATAGGAAATTTTAGTTTCATAATGTGCAGAGCCTTTTATAGTTTACACTATCAATGCTACACAGTTGAATTCTCATTGCTGTCCCTATCCTGAGACCAAACTGCATTGATTCAAATAAAGTTCTTGAATTTCCTGGGACTAAAATGCCTGTGTACACTTGACATAAGACAATAGTGGCTACAAATCTTGTTCAGGTACAGTTCAGGTAATCAAATACTGCAATCTGAGGCATCTTTTTCTATTCACAGCCATTAATTTCTAAATAATGGCTGGGAAAGTTAAGAAAGTAAAGAAAACCTACTATCCATTGTGTAATCATTAGGATTTGCTGTTCACTATGAATGCTTCAGAAGGGGTAGTCAAAATGAGGTGAAAATCTCAGATGAATGTTAACTTCACCTTAATTAAAAGGGGAAATACCAGTGTGTAAGTTGACATATTTTGTCTTAAACATGGATATCTGGATTCAAAAACTATCAGCACATCATTTTAAAATGCTCAGTCCTTTGTTCTGTGTGAAAGTTATTGAAAAACAGGAAAGTTCACTTAGTGTGCATGCCTTGGCTTATTTTCCAGTTAAGCTGGAAAGCCACAATTGAAGCCTGCTTTGAAAGAACCTTTTTGTTTCCTCTCCCTTTTTAGAGACACATACAGAGAACTCTCAGAATTAAATCAGGTAATCGTTTTTTTCAAGAGTAAATAACTTTCCAGATCAGTATTCAAAATTTCAAATGACTATTAAAGAACTTTGGGTTACATCCTCCTCCTCCTTTTTACCCTTCTGTATGTTTATTCCATAACTTGTTTCATGGATTATTTCCAAATTATGGTTCTCCACTTCATTTGCACTGTCAAGCTACGTTTTGCTGTTGCCTGCAAACTAGGATCCAAAACCAGGGTTGGATGGAAAAAATGTGGAAAGGAAGCATTTAATATGTGACTAAGTTTCTTTGCTCATTCATATAGTGCTGAACCATGGTTTGATGTTATGTCTGAACCATCTTAGTGTTATTACTTTTCTCTGCCTGTTTCATGCTATGCAAAGATATTTTTCTACTGTCAAAGAATCAGTCATAAGCAGTTGGCATTAATCACCTTGTGATACACACCAGCTGCTAACACTATATGTAGTGAAAGAATAGTCACAAATGTGCAGAAGGCTTCTCCTTTTGTAAATATTCAAAGAACATATTGAATTGCTCTATACTTTCCATCTTTAGCACAATAGCTACACAGCTGTTACTTATTCGCCACTTGAGATCCAGACATTATTCAAGGTAGCACTTACATTTGCAGGAAAAAGTGCTTTTCTCCAAAGACAGAAATTGTTATAGAGAAAATATAACCTTTCTCTTTTCTAGAATATCTATTGCCATAATGATTGGTATTTAAATGCAATACTGTGCATCCCATGCACACCAAATAACTAATTTCCATATGCTGTTGGTAACATTATTGGGTGACATCCAGCGTTGTGGGAGTGGATATCTGCTCATGCAACAGAATTTTCTCCCCTGCTTCTCTCTCTGCAGCCTCTTAAATGCACCACTGAAATGTGCTCCGGGGTTGCCCAACCTTGAAAATGTTGAGACATCTGCCTATAGGATGATAATTTTGATCCATGCTGTATTTATTGCCCTTTTTCTTCTAGCCAGCATAACTTACTTTCTTGCTCTGTCTTTTTTCTTTTCACATGGCTAGTGGGAGAATAAATTCTCATTAAAATGGGATGCTGAGTATATAAATGGAACTTATCCATTCATATCACCAGGCTGTATAAAAGTTATGTCACTTTGTACATTGCTGTATTAGCACACCTGCACAGTGGGCATTTGTGTTGTGGATGCCTACTGCATGAACACTGCTTTCAGAGAGGTATGTGAAAACATTTGTAAAGCCAGTATTATTGTTAAATTGTACCTCAGTGTATGGGCACACCATGTATTACATATACATGCCAAAGAGATGCTGCAGTAAATTGGTTGAGCTCATACAGTTCTGAACTGCATTTTACTGAGCGTGGTTAAAGCTGTTTATTTTGCTCATGCAGGGAAGAATCAAACTTTCTAATCAGCCTCTCCAACACACTGAATTTATCTATAGTCTGTGGAACTCATGTCAGAAATATAATACACAACAAACTGCATTTTGACAATACAGAAAACAAGCCAACAAATGTAACCCAGTCAGCCCCTCAAAATAGTGAAACTGCTTTACTGTGACCCTAAACATTTTTTCTAACCTTTGTAAACAGAACCTGAGTGATTACCTTATTAAATATTTTAAAGATAGTAATCTGTGTTTTATCACATAATTCTTCATACCAATATCCACATGAGCTCATTTACTTAATAGCAGGATACTTTTGACATATACACATCAAACTTTATTTATGCAGTTTCTTATATCAGTTTATCTCAGAGTAAGTTCAATGAGTTCAGTGGGATTTACTTCTGAACTCATTGAACTTACTCTGAGATAAACTGATAGTGGGATTTACTTCTGAAAAGACATGCCTAACTTTATAGCCAAACATGTTTTAAAGTATTGGGAGGCAATTTCATTCCATCCTTTTTGCAATATTTTTTCCACCAAACCATATATTGCAAAAAGATTTGGAGTTCTGCCACAGCAAACTCTTTCATAATCTTATATGTTCTTCTTTGCTGTGTAGTAATACGTCACAACATATTCATTTCCTTATTAGTATACTATCAATTATTTGGAGTGGGCAAGACTTTCTCATTACCCCAAATGCAGCATAGAAATTTCCCTTATTCAGACATTCTGACACTGAATGGAGCAAACACATGAGGAAAGGGAGTATTCTAGTCCCACCCTCCTTCACTGTCACATTGGCCACTCTCAATTTGCGCAGGAAAATGTCTAAACAGGAGGCCCTCCTATAACCACCAAGCCAGAAGCTGAATAGGGCTATTAGTAATGGTGAGAACGAGAGCAAAGAGAACTTAATTAGAACGTTGGGAGAGGATCTGGTGGAATGACAATACTAAGCACACTTACTATGGAGTAATCTTCATTGACATAATGAGATTTGTTTCTGAGTAAGCATGCAATGGATGGCACTGCTAATTAGATTATGAACAGATAACCTTGTATGCAACTGGATTTTTTGGGGGAGGAGGTTGTGACTCATGCTTTGAAAACTAATGTTTTACAACAATATACCATACTGTTCTATACATTTCCTTTGCATAAACACATGGAAAGCTCTTATTTATGTCAATACTTACTCTCCCATATCTATTAGCATAGGATCCCGTAAGCAGAGAATGGAAAATGATGATTGTCTCATCCAAATCCCAAATGAACACTCGCTGTAAAAAGATAACAAAATCAATGGATCCCTCTATAACTGATATGTAAAATACAAAAAAAAAAAAAAAAACCCAAAAACAAAACAAAACCCTAAAAGATATCCATTTCAGGAAAAAATCTAAATGCCACAGAGGGTTGTTGTGTGGATTAAGAAGAGGAAGAGAAGAATTATGTAAGACAGCTTGAGCTCCTGGGAAGGAAAAAAGAAGGAATATAATTATTACATTACATTTCTATACCGCCCATAGCTGAAGCTCTCTGGGTAGTTCACAACTTTTAAGTCACCATCTAGATTTTAACTAAGCCTGACCGTGCTTAGGATTCAATATTAGGCAGGATCAGGTACTTCAGCCTATACAGAAGCTATTATTTATAATTATAATAAATATTAAATTGATCTTTTCATTCTATTTTGGAGAAAACCATACATCTAAGAAATATATTATCACAATAATATATCATTTCAAAATTGACCTCACAATCCTATGCATGTCTACTTATGAGATTTAATGGGATTTATTCCTAAGTGTGCGTAAGAATGAAACCTAAATATATTCAATATACAAATTCAAACATTTACACACTTACTTAGATTATAGAACTGGGAAAAATGGGATACTGAAAAGAGGGAAAGGCATAGGTTAAGGCATGGGATTTGGGTTTTTTTTTTCCTATTTCCATGTTGCATTTTTACCTAGTAGACCAGAGAATCCTGGCAAACAGCATGCTGTAACATTTCCTAGGGAATGGATGCCAGATTACCTCCAATTCCTTTGATAGGTAGGCCAAATTAACATGGTGAATGATGGGACCCTGTGGAAAGTCTTAGGATACATTTTATCAAGTGGCTTTCTGAAATTGCTGGGAAATAGCTATTTCTACTTACTATACCTTTAGCCAGATCCTTCTCTTTTCCCCATTGGTCTAGGGCAATTTCATTGCTGGATGAAGAATTTCCAGGTTTCATGAAGGAAAAGTATTCTTCCCTTACAGCTTTGGTACACATCTCCGTGAATCATACAATGTATAACCTACAATTTGTCACTATGGTGTGTGAACCTAGTCTTCGCTGCTTCTGCTGCATCAGGCGAACACAGTTACCCCTCTGGAAATAATCATTAATCAGTAATGATTAATAATCAAAAGTATCCTACTTTTCAGTGGGAGGAAAGCACACTGATGAAAGATTAGAACTTTTACATGGGGCTGGGCAACCAATAGATACAGGGACATTCCCCTCCAAGAGCAAGAAGTACAAGCATTGCAGGTATACCTCATTAAAAAGCAAGAGAAGAGGGCAACTATGGTCTCCTAGCATGGCAGGAAGACACTAACTAGTGCTTATAATTTTACAAGAGTACAAGATTCCATCATGAGAAAGACTCAAGTACAGGAATAGCAGGAGTGGAGTGAGTTTGGCTAGAACTTATAATTTTACTGTGCTTTGTATTTGATTTTTCTTTTGGCCCAGTAAGTTTTAGCCCTCTGCAACAGCATAAATAAATAGCTTCTTCTTCTGCAATACCTCCAAGTCAGAGTCAGGTGGTGGTGAAGGATTATTATTCCTTCTGCCTCGGCCACGTGATTTACCATCTGAGCTGCGACGCAACCTGTCTGCTTCTGAATCTTTAATGGGTGTTGTTGGGCTGTGGAGTGAACTGTATTCGGCTGCATAAGAAAAAAAAGTCATCTTTTAGTTTAGTTGTAGCTCTTTGAAATTTCTAATTTTGAGTATGTTCCGTGAAATGGACACTTGACGTCTTAGACTACATTACAATATTCATCCAGTCTTAATTCTAAAAGTCAGAATTCTCCCAAAAAACACATAACAAAATAACTCAAAAGGTAATGAAAATTCCCCTGCTCTCTAATAATTGAAGAAGGTATTTCTAGAAAGAAAAAGAAAAAGAGAGAAAGAGAAACCTTCCAGTTTCTAAGAACTCAAGAAACACTGTAAGAGAGAGTGGGCAAAGGAGGAGAGAATCAAAGAACCCCAGGACTGAGAAAACAAACTGGTGTTTGTTAGTCAACTAGACAAAACCTAGGCAGGGCAACAAACCACATATTAACCACGGGCTAAACTATGGTTAACATTATATGTAAACCAGGTAATTATCCCAAAAGTCTTTGAAAGCTTTGGTCTGCTGTGATTGGCAAAACATTTGCATCAAAACTTTTTGTGTTTGTATGTCCTATCTATATATGTACCATTAAGAATCTGGATGATTAGATTAGCAATAAGTAGGCAGAAAGGTTCTCAGAGCCAATAGGAACAAGACTTTTGATTGAATAGAACAAAACTCCAGTACTTCAGGCTGGGGAAGGAAGGAAATGAAGTAAAGAATTAGTACTGGGAGCAGGAAATGTGTGTGTGAGGAAGAGGGAGAGGACTGGTGACTACTTGAAGAAATATTTCTTGCTCAATATTATACTACATACAATTCAAGTTCCTTCTAAAACTGTTCACTTTTTGGCCATATTGGCTATATGTTCCTCTTGACCTCTGAGTGGATGATCTGAAAAATTGTAATGATATGTACACAAAAGCTCAGTGCATGCCCCCATCTTCTTCTATAATGAGATAATGAAAAGAATTCTCAAAAACACACACAATTTCATAAGTTTAATATTATCTTTATCATTAATAAATACTCCTTTTATGTTTCATAATAAAACCACCATAGTATATTCAGTGGTAAATCAATCCAGTTACACTACTAATTTATTCTGAAATTAAAGTCCAGAAGGTTTGAGATTTTGGATATTGCCAAAAATCCGAGATATATCTGCTTTAGTGAGACCACAGTGCTAACACTTGTTTGTCAATAAATTTTCTTCAATCTCAATGGAGTCAAATACTGCCTATGAAACACTATAAAATCTTTCTTTAAAGTCTACATACAATCTTATATCATGTGTTTCCAGATCCATTTCCAAACAACCAAAGGTATTTTTCTTTCAATATCCTCTTTACTCTGATGTGGATTTGTTATTAGTTCCACTTTAGTAATGAATGTATATGATCATTTTACATATATGGCCAAGTACTCTCTTCAATTGATTAGAAGAAGATAACATTTCTAAGTCTCTGGAGTCACTCAAAGATCCACATTTATCCAGATTAAGCTCCAGTATATGCTTAACTTGGAGGTATTAAAAAAGAAGGAATTGTAGATGCCTTACTTCTTGTTTGATTTCTTAAATGTCTTTCTTTTATAATTCTTTAATGTATACTATATGCCTGGGCTTAGCTTACTTTAATTGTTTGCCAAACCATAACTAAATTCCTAGTACATGGGTTTATTGTAATAATAATAGTACCAGAATATTTTAAAGATGTGTAGACAGGGAGTTTTCTACTAATATTGCTGCACTTTTCCTTTCAAACCATTATCTTAAATGATGCAGCACAGAAATAAGGAAGTAAAGGCCATGGACAGAGAACAACTGGTATGTCCTAAGCATAAGTGGGATTTTCCTGCCCATGAACAAATCTAGCATATGATGCTGCCATTTTATAAGAACTGTATTACTCACTCCTAGAGGGATGGTTAAAAACAAAGGATTAATAGCAGCACATTCATTTTAATAATCAGTATGTCCACCACTTGACATTATCCCAATGAGATCAGACAATATCTAGGGGACATAGACTTACCCCATAGGATCCATCCATTTTTTGAATGAAGGGATTGCTAAAGAATTAAATACTTTCTAGCATTCACCAGGGAAACTATTTGTGCATGCTATTTTGTTATTTTTAAAAACCCTTTATTATTTAAGCATGCCACTCTGTAATTATTGTTCTTTTCAAACTCTTGACATCTGCTAAAGCTAAGTGAGGTTAGTTTACTTTCTGTTAAAAAGAAATGCATCTTTTCTACTGAAGGCTTCACTGAAGAACAGAGTTATTCATGATAATAACTACATTTATTTTCTCTAACTCTGGAATATGTTAGTACTAATAACATCTTGTATTAGTAACTAACATCATGTACAGTTTTTCTATTTAGGAAAAATTTAGTAAATTGATTTATGTTTCGTAATTGCTTGTTTTTTCCCCCATGGCTGATCTTGAGACTTAAATTCTAGTATGGTTCCTTACTCTTTATTTACATTAAACATTTTAAAATTTAAAATTCTTCTAATTTCTACCGTTGATGCCTTCTCTATAGAGACTCTATAGAGTGAACTCTTTCTTGTTGCTTTATATTACCAAGACTTCTCCAACTTATGGTGAATCCATGAATAAAGCCCTCCAAAATGTCCTGTCCATTAGAGCCCCATGCAGCTCTTCTCAGTTCAACGCTGTGGCTTCCTTTATGGTTTCAGTCCATCTCATACTTGGCCTTTCTTTTCATCTTCTGCCTTAGACTTTCCATAGTAGGGTTATCTTCTCCACTGAGTCTTGCCTTCTCATGATGTGTCTTATCTATGACAACACCAGTTTTGTCATTTTTACTTCCAGTTAAAGTTCTGACTTGATTTGATATACGACACACTTGTTCCTATTTCTGTTGGTCTAGGGTATTCACAAAGCTCTTCTTCAGCACCATGCTTTGAATGCATCAGTTTTCCCGCCATCAACTTTGTTCACAGTCCAGCTTTCACTGCGCACTTTCATTTTGCAACTGCAAATACAATAGTACAGATGATCTTGGCCTTGTTTCAGTGAATGCCCTTACACTAGGACATTTCCTTCACTGCTGCCTTTTCAAGTGGCAGTATTTTCAAATTTCTTGACTGCAGTCTCCCTTTGAATTGATGACTGAGCCAAGGGATGTAAAATCTTTCAGAATTTTGATTTCTTCATTGTTAACAGTAAAGTTCTGCATTTTTTTCTGTAGTCATAACTTTTATTCTTAATCTACAACTGTGATCTTGCTTTTGTACTTTAACTCTCTTCAGAAGCTGTTTCAAGTTATTGCTTCTTTCTGTCAGTAGTATGGTATTATTTGCATATCTTATACTATTGGTATGTCTTCTGCCTGTTTTCCTCTAATCCAGATCCAGCTTTCCTTATATGTTCTATGTACAGACAGGGATATAAAATATATCCTTGTTTGACTCCTTTACTTATAGGAAACAATTCTGTTCCTCCATATTCTGCCCTCACAGTAGCTTCTTGTCCATGATAAAATTACACATCAGGACAATCAAGTTCTGAGGTTCACCCATTTCTTTCAGGACCAACCATAGCTTCTCATTATCCACAGAGTCAAAGTCTTTGCTACAGTCTATGAAGCACAGATTGAGCTTCTTCTGAAATTATTTGGTTTGCTCTAGTAGCCAATGTATGCTTGCAATAAGACCTCTGGTGCCTGGTCTGTTCTTTAGGTGGACTTTAGGTTCCTGGAAAATGGTATTTAAGTTGCATTTCAGCACCCTATTCTGTTGTTGGTCTTTTCCAGCTTTACTTTGATTTTTGATATTAAATGTTCATGGTCACTTCTGTAATTTGCTCCCAGTCTTGTTTCAGGACGTGAGACTACAGCTTCTCCATCTCTTTATTATAGTTACATTGTCTCTTTGATTTCTGTTTTGGCCATCTGGTGATGTACAGTCATCTGACTGGTTGCTTGAAGAATGTATTTGAATAAGTATACCATTGACTCCACAGAATTTTGAGTCATTCTCCTAATTCATTTATTACCCCTAGGCCCTACAACATTTGATTCTGCTTTATTTACTAGTTTTCTGTTCCAGTCACTTAGGATTAGCAGCATGTTTTGAGTGTTATAAATTTCCTCTTGAACACCTGCATAAAAGTTTTTTCTTTCTTCCTCTTCAACATCTGTTCTTGGAACATAGACTTGAATTATGGTTATGTTGATAGGCTTTTTGCAAATTCTTATTGATAGTATTTGGTTGTATTTTGCATTATAGCCCCTTACAGCCTATATGTCTTGTCTTGGTATTAGAGCCACTCCATTTCTCCTGAGCTTGTAATTTCCAGAGTCAAACACTTTGTGTTTGTTGGACTGAAAATGCTATGTTGTTTAACCATTCCATTTTCTGCTTTAGCGTTTCCAGTTTGCCTTGGTTCATACTCCCATGTTCCAACTGCATGCATTGTGCAGCATCAGACTTTTCTTTCAGCTCTGTGCATGTCAGCCTCTAGCCTTCCTTTTCAGTTTGATCTAGTTGCATCATTAGTTACAGAGCTATTAATTCTTTGCTCCTCCCCAGTAGGTCATTGAGTGCTTTCCAACCTGAAAATTTCATCTTCTGGCACTATCACTTGTTTCATTTTGGATTGTTTTGTTATAGTTTTCAAGGTAAGAAAATTCAGTAGTGCTAACCAGAGTTAGCTTAAGCATCACTGCCATTGCCAGTGAAAGACCCTCCATCAGTGTTGCTTTCAGCTACTGTTGCCACCAAGTAGCTGCCCTTCAGAAGTTTTTCCATCCCAGAAGAGATACCCATTCTCTTCTGCTTATGTGACCATTCCTCCTGAAGAGGCTAAATACATCTTACTGGTGTCTCTACTTTGACCATTCTGCCTTGGGTGACCCTCTAGGAGACCAGCCCAGTGAGATAGTCTGGCCTCCTGACAGCCTTGATCTCAACTTGAATGACACCCCCTCACTACATTAAGGTGTGCATCCTGGGGTGGAGAGGAAGGTAAACTCTTTAGTCCAAAATATTAATTTTACCTATTACATCGGAAGTAACTTCATTTTGTTAGGCTATCCAACTGCCAAATACCTTGACATGAATTGCTAAATACAAAGCCAATTCCCTTATAATTGAGAAATGATCCATTAAAATATTACAGCATGGAAACATTCTTTTTCTGCATTGCCTCTCCTCTTCCTCTGGATCCAACTCAGCTGATGTGGTCATTGGTATGTTTTCCTGCCTATCTGAACAATAGAAGAATGTAGGGTTTTTTGTACTTAAGAAGACAGTCTGTGTGTTTCATGGCCTGACCTGTGCAACACAAAAAGGAACGTGGTATTGGAAGGCTACCACAGGAAACCAAGGTAGGCACAGGAAAAAGAGACCACTTCTCCTAAAAAGGGTCAAAACATTTCTGGCTGCCAGCAGTGTATTTTCTATCATTATATTGATTTGGCATTTAGTCCCCCCCCACCCCAATTCTGTTCAGCTTTGCATATACATTTGAAATAAAAGGGAAGTCAAAAAGAAATCTAACACAATAAATATCACTGTAGACAGCATAAAAATAAAGCAATTTTAAATATATTGATGCATGAAACTTTATATAAAATTATCAATTTCTCAAACAGATTTTAACTTAAACTGTTGTAACTGAGAGATAAAAATAGATATTTAAAAATATACTGCAAAAGAAACAGAGAAATGAAAATACAGCTAGCAATGAATTAAGTGTTTTGGTTCTTAGTAGTATATGAAATTATATACTTTTTCAGATATAATACTCATCATCATCATCATCATCATCATCTATATTTCTTATGGCTTTTACTTGTAAGCTGTCCTGAGATGCGATAATGAAGGATGGCATACAAATGTTTTAAATAAATAAATTTCTATACAGGCAACCTCTCAAAAAAGATACAGTAAGAACAATAAATGCAGTACAGTAAAATACCATAAAAATACAATCCCTAAACTTTAAAAGCATGTTTAAAATTAAAATTAAATTTACAAAAGCAAGCAGGTAGCGCTTTCCTTCAGCTTCGGCTAACCTATCAGCTGCGTCCCTACCTGGAGGAAGATTCCCTAGCAACAGTAACCATGCATTGGTTACTTCCCGGTTGGATTTCTGTAATGTGCTTTACGTGGGGCTGCCCTTGAAGACAGTCTGGATACTTCAGATGGTTCAAAATAGAGCTGCCAGGATGCTGTCGGGGACTGGGCATTATTCTCATATAACCCCAGTCCTCTATCAGCTCCATTGGCTTCCCATCGAAGTCCGGGCTCAATTCAAGGTGCTAGTTATTACTAATAAAGCCCTAAATGGCTTGGGACCAGGACACATAAAGGAATGCCTTTTTCCCAATTTGCCCTCCTGCTCCCTGAGATCGGCAACAGAAGCCCTCCTCTGGGAACCCTCTGTGAAAGATGTTAGGAGACAAAGTACCCAGAGGAGGGCCTTCTCTGCGGTGGCACCCCAACTAGGGAATGTGCTCCCCAGAGAGGTCTGCCTGGCACCATCATTATATGTTTTTCGGCACCAGGTTAAGACCTTTTTATTTAATCAATATTTTAATATGTTTTAATATCAAATTTTATTATTGTATTTTATTAATTTGCAGCCGGAGTGGGTCATCAATTTATTTATGCTGTTAGCCATCCAGAGACGTTAGTAATTGGACAGCGTACAAATTTTATAAATATATAAATAAATTGTTTAACTTTTCTTTCTTCTCCTGAATGAAAGGGATGGAGGATGGGGGTGTCAATGTGGGATTTTTGCACATGGTTTTGGTTTTTCTGAAGCTGCTAATACCTTATTTTGTCCATATTGCCATTTGGTAAATTGAATTAGTCATTTAGCTAAATAAGAATAATAGAATGGCTTTGCAATTCATACACATAATCCTTCTTCTACATACTATCAATATTATTATAAATGTATCTTTATAAGAAGAGAGACACAATTAGTTTACAATCAACTATATATGCATATTCAATGTTCAATCAAACTTTGCACTGCACTCATATACAATCGCTCCAGATACAAGTCCCACTGAGACCTTATTCTGAGGTAAATGGGTTTAGCATTGCAACTAGTATATAAAATAAGGTTTAAGTGGAGAGCTTAGTACCTGTAAATACTGTTGTTCAACTTACAGTTTCTGTTTTTCCTTTTTAAAAAAACTAATAACACTTATACATTATTTAATGTAGCAACTATAGAAAAGCCTGCTCTGAAAAATTTAGTGCTGTTTTCTTCCCACTTCCTAACATGCTATGAATCCTTTCACGTACAGAGGCAGTGGGACCAAAAAAAAAAAAAAAAAAATCAGGTTTCTTGTTCTAAAAGCTACCTTTTAAACACAAAAAGTGTGGCCTAAAAGGACAATAACCTGAACAATTACCTGTCATAGGGTCTGTAACTGCTTGACTTGTGATGCCAGATGGTGGTTCTTGAAGCTGATATGTTGCATTTGAAGAAGGAGTCGTTGGACTGGTGTTGCTGCTTGTCATATAATGTGAAGGATATGGAGAACTGTTGTAATACTGTGCATACTGACCCTGGCCAAAGCTCGGGTAAGATGGATATTCCTATTAGAGTGGTGGAAAAAGCTGCATTAGATTCTCATCAACATGCTCTTACTTGTTGCTACATATTTCAACATATGACTGAAAATATTTGCCTTAACTTTTCTACTGTCTTGGATTTTATTTCTTTTGCCTAAATAAAGCATTGTAATTTAGACAATTACAGATTAAATAAAGATAAAGTATCAGCATTTAGAACAAATATAGCATAATAATGCAGGAGCTGCTAAAACACACTTCAGAGTAACTTTTCAAATTCTAAATAACCTCCAGATTCACTATGAAGTGTATGTTTTGTATCTTTTTTTCAAAATAAAGGTCTGATGCCCTCTCATTTTATTTACCTGCTGTGAACTATTAAAGCCAGTGGAATTTGTAAGCGAGTTATTTCCAGCATATATTCCAGATGATGTTGTGAAACTGCTCCCTGCAACAAACAAATTAAGAGAAAGTGGAATGAACATCCAATATATTTAAAACATGCATTCTCTAACTGTAACATGATTAGTTTAAACACAGATACACATATTCCACATTCATATAATAATTAATCTACTCTACCAGTACAGGAACAGATTATACTGTGAATAAGTCATAATCCTTTGTTTACAGAGCTTTGGATAATAACGTGAATGTTAAAAGGTTATACAAAAAAATGAATTAAGACAGACTAGAATACAAGTTCAGAATCAAATGGTTCCCTTTTTTCTGTTTAGTTATCCATCAAGCTAATTGATCAGCAAATTACCTAACACCAATCTTACTGAACTATATTGCTTCAAACTACAGGTGGAAAGTTCATGCTAGAATACCTCTTCATATGAATGATACCCTGGTGGCAGAACATCAGTAACTACCAGAAAATGTTTGGGTTTTAGTTGTTTACCTAGCAGAGCATTCAAATATGTGATCCTCTCCTACTGTCTTAAATAGTAATCTAAAGTAACAACTGCATATGATAATTTTGTCTGTTTGTGCAGTTTGGCTGTAAACTATCCCTTAAATTAATGCAAAACAATCTGTTGTGATCCCATCAAGGTTTACTTGGAAAATGTTCCAGTGACTGTTAGGCAGACTTAGATATATAATTGACTACAATATCTCTTTAAAATATTAGCTTTTAAAAATGCATTTCTTTTGCTTTATCTTGGGTGGAAGTAAGAAATGCATTTCAATCAAGAAAAAATGGATTTTGTAGTTCTGAGCAATAAATTTTTTTGTACTGCTATTATATTTTGCTACATGCTATAGGAACACAAAGAAAGTTTTCATCCAAAGCGCTCTGAAATGTATGTTCCTCTCCAATAGTTGCACAGATAATTATAGCTCATAAAATGTTCTTGAGTATACAGCCTTGGGCAGCACTTTTCTTTTTCCTCAAGGAGTTACTGTTGCCCCTGACACCAAGAGCACTATCACTTGACATTTCAAATAGAAAGGCCATTGCTAAATGTGTCTGGACACTGCAATTCTCTCTCAGGTTTAGTGGACCAAAAGGGACAGATGGGCTGGCCTTCTTGTTCTAATGCCTTCAACTAAAAGCTGCACTTTTAAAAGGGAAGCAACCTCCTGTTAGGATCAAAAGCAAATTGCAACATATGGACATTTAGGGAGAAAGTGTGTGGGGGGAGGGGGGAGCAAAAGAGAAATTCAAAAAGCTTGTCAGAGGATTTTAAAAAAATTGCTAGAAAGGTAAGGATGCACTAAAGTAGTAAAATACCTCCATAATCTGCCTTTGACATGTATTGTTACTGCATAATGCCATAGCCAGGACCAGTGATATCAAAATGAAAAATGAGAATGGTCCAAAGGCTACGGTTCAGAAAAGCTGATAAATTTCTGAATAAATTAGAAACTTTGCTTTCCTATCACTCCAAAGAAAGCCACTTGTATAAAATAATGGTGAAAGAAAGGGGAAATCCTCAAAAACCCTAAAAACTTTGCCTTGGATATGATATGGGATAATTTCAAAACATCACACCATAGTTGAACATAAGGATTACTCTGGGTCAGGACCAAAGGCCTATCTAGTTCAGCAAGCTGTTCGTATACTAGCCAACCAGTTACCCATAGAAACTCCCTAAGTAAAACATGAACACTCTAGTACCCTCCCAGTCATGTTCCTCAGCAACATATAGGAATACTTCCACCTGACTGGACCTACATACATAACCAGAAGACATAGCTAATGAGTGAAATTATAGTTCAGAAATATGTACTCTTCCGTCACTGGAAGGGAAAATCCCCATTATACCATGAGAAGTGGAACAAATCGGTGTTAACACAAGCAGCATGAATAGTAGCTGGTAAGTGTATGATGGGAAAAAATGGCCAAGTTTGTATATTTTGATATTGTGTGAATGTGCATATGCATGTATAAAATACTAATACAAAACGAAACACTTAATTTCCTGGCATAAAATGTCCTAGAAAAGGACAGTTAAAACAAAATAAAACCTTAGAACATTGCTGGAAACAGTTATTTACATGTTAAAGTATAGGGCAAAATAAAAAGACAGGAAAGCATGAGAAGAGAAAATGGAAGCAACAAAGAGGAGCAAACAGATTCAGTGGGAACATTGGCATAACAGGGAGTTGAGATAGAGGTTTAAAATGGAACATTAACAAAGGGAAGAAGTGGGTGCAGGGAGAAAATTCTAGTCATGTGCATTCTTCGAGAAAAACCTTGAGTATGTATCTCACCTAGAATTCTTTGCCTCAGATTGCTGGACAATAACTGAGCACAGAGAACTCAGATAATTTTATATGGCAAACTATGCAGTCAATGAATGATAATGCTGATTTTGAAATTATCAAAAAGGAAAAGAATATCAGAAATACATAGCAGATTAGAAATGTTCAACAATCATTGTAAACATCATGTTATGGGTACCAGAGAGCTGAAGAAGTTGTTGTCTAAGAATGTATTTTACCAAATCAATAACACTTTAATTAAACTAATCAGTGTTTTATCTAAAGACATAGAAGTTGCCTTATGTACTAAGGTGGATAAGCCATCCAGATGCATGGACACTTACTATCATTCCCCCATGACATCAGGTTGATCCTGACAATGGTGGGCAGTAGCAAGATTGCAGAAGGGGACTTTGCACCTCCTTTCCCCCCAGCAGTAGCTCCCAGTACGGTACCCCTGAAGAGCTGCTCCTGATGGTCAGGGGACGTCTAGCATGGGTAGGATGAGGAACTGTGGGAGGGGAAAATGACTGAAAATTAGGCTTGTATAAGGTGTCTTCACCCGTTTGGGGATAACTCTCCCCTTCCAGTGACTTTCCATACCCTAGTGCACCCTGATCTGCAGGATCCTGTGACTCTCAAGACAAGTTTTGGGACAGGGGACTGTAGGGAAGAACACTGGGGGAGAGGTAGTGGGAAAGACTTCTTCTGAAAGCTTATTCAACCCATCTTTCTGAAGAAACCTATACGTCCAGCATACCTTGTGAGGTTTTAAATAAAAATACAGACACTATTATTTTAATAGAACAAAAGAATGTGCTGAGGAAGGAAGGGATATTTCAAGTCCCAAAATGATACACATTCTTAAAGCTGAGAGCAATCAGCTGATCCATGCATTTATTTTAGGATATGGTTGATAAACAACAAACAAACCAAATGTAATTCAATACTAAAGTGTCATAGAGATGAGACTAACTAAAATGCTAATGAATCTTGCAGGTGCAGGTCACTGTTGCTGAGAAACTTGTCTAGACTGTTTTATTTTATATTTTAAAAGTATCAGGATGTACAGTAAAAAGACTATCAGCTGGAAAGCAGACCATAAAATGGAATTAGGGGCTAAAGCATGCTTTAAAGTTGCAGCTAGCAGCTATGTCTTTCTTCCCTAGAGTTAAGTGCAGAGGGCATGATCCAGATCAGTAGCACTTCTCTATGAAAGATAGTGGGGTTTAACCCTCTACTCCTACAGCTGCAGTCCCTGTTCAGATTGGGGCCCCACAGCTGCAATATATATATTGCCAAGTAGTGATTTCTATTTTTAATTAATCAGTATTTGCCAATATAAGTTGAAGGCATGGGGGAGGTGAACTGTCCTGAGATCACAACAGGGATGAAAGAGTCAAAGCTTCGCCATTCCCCAAGCAAAAGTTATGATTAGCAAATGAGATACTGCACTTACTGCAAAGCTGTTGATGCTGCTGTTATTTTGTTTTTTAATGGAATGCTCTAGGTCATCCACTGAATGGGGTGAGCCACACCCATGGCATTTCTCCAGGTTTCTAGAACAGTTTCAATGTATCAGGCACTGCGGCCAGACATATTGCTTGTGAAAACTGGTAATGCTTTGGTCAAGAGTATAGCCAAGGCAAAGCAGCTTTGCTCTGATAGAACATATGGGTGAACCATGCATTTTTCTGCAATGCCTAGTTAGGAGAACTCACATATCTGCTTGGCAAGATGAGTCTCACCCTTATTTAGAAATTATGTCTCTTTAAGCATAATCAAAACGTGAACATAGGAATACTGTCTGTTAGTCATTGTGTGTAACAACTAAAGCTGATCTTAACCTTTTGGTATGCGGTGTTAGTTCTACTTAGAGTAGAACTTACATTAAAATAAATGGGACTGAAATTAGTTCATGTCATTAATTGACAGTACTTTAGGACTGAAAGAGGAGCACAATTTTTAAATACACATTACTATGAAAAAGCATTTCAGAACATTTCACACAAAAATCACAGGAAATAAAACAAACTGATCTATAACGCCTTTGAATTTTATTAACACAGACGAAATATCAGCACATACATTTGGGAGCAATATTTAAGGATAAAGATTGACAAATGTTTCTGATATAGTTCTTGCAGGCTACTGTTTATTCAGGAACTATGCAGTGGCCTGAGATACATTCAGAACCTTAAAAATTCACAAGAACCAATGAAAACTGTTATTGCACCTAGCCCAGGATATTATAAGAAACATCTCTTTCATCTTACAGCTATTACAGACTCCTATGGAGAATGGCTGAGGTCTCACAGACCATAACAAATGTGAAACAGCTTTCTGAAAACTGCTATGTGGACCACCCAGGGTCATCTGCTTATAAGTACTTAAAAATTCTTTAAAGATTGTCACAATTGAACAAGGTGCGTCATGGCACAATGCCACGCTGCTCTTGCACAAGACAGTTAACAAAAAATATTAGGCACCTCATCTAACCTCATAAAATAGATAATCTTACAAGAAATCGATACATTTTCCAACTAAAAAAATAAAGATTGTATTAACCTAACAAACCATGGTTAAATTGCCTCCCAAAAAGGATAAGCCAAATATTTTGTTCACTACTTTAGGAAGAATTTTTACAGAAGCTGTCATCAGAGCCCACTACAATATGAAGCAAAAAGTCATCAGTTTTGTCTGAATGCAAACCTGTGATACACAGGTGATTTTATAAGCCTTTTTTCTTGTGGGTAGCATATGCATTTTGACAACTCTTTTTAGCATGTAAAATTGGCCACGGTTTTTCTTTTCTTTTCTTTTGCTAGCCTGCAGAACCAAATTGTGACTGTTCCATAGAACATGTAGGAAGGCCAAGAAAGAATCTCCCTCCAGAATAATCCACTTTTGAAGGATGCAATCTTCTTCCTACAAAGAAAACTGAGGAAGATTTCTTGGTAAAGTGGTGGGATAAATGCCACATGGGGGGAAGCCCAGAATTTTTAAAGTAGGCAACAACTAAAGAACTGTAACTCCTACATGAACACTTGGACATATAAAGATACATATTGTAATATATAACAGATAAATACTTTTGTGTGTGTGTGCGCACGTGCACACATGTGCACAATGTAATTTTCAGGAGCAAGCTAAATGACTAGTTTGTCAATTCTGCAGGCATACCTTGCAGCATTCCCAGTGGCTAAATCAGGGCACAGTTTTTGCATGTTGCATATGCTAGCAGGTGACCACCTCTGCATTGCTGTTATAGAAAACAAACAAACGAAACCAAAAACACAAAACAAACAAACAAAAATCCCATTTGGTTTAGGAAATATTCAGAAGTAGAGACATGGTGCTGAGTTACCTGAATGCTAAGGAAATAGAAATGTCTTCCCTACAGGAGTATGTAACTAAGACCAATGTGCTTACTAAAAGAACTTTCACTAGTTTCTGTTTGTTTCCAAGCCCAATTCAATGTACTGATGCTAACCTTTATCCCACAATGGCTTGAGGATAACTCACAACAACAAATTCCTTATCAATTTACACAAATTTTAAGATAACCTGCAGATACTCTTTCCTCAACATCAGTTCCCAGAATAAAATATAGATCTTGTGAGCAACCTTGGTCCATGTGAACAGTATCTTATGAGAAGAAACGATCAGATCTCATTCCACCTCTCATGCTAATGAAAGCATGGAAATAAAGTGAGTTCTTCTCTGAATGTACAAATACTATTGAAAGATCTCAAAAATTAATTTCTAAAAAGATACAACCTTTTCACAGGGTTAGACCATATTGGTGTTCATTGGGGAATTGTCTGAATATAATCTAACTCCATGCCAAATATTCTGTTTTGTTTCAAAGAAAAGACATTACTCTATACACATGCTATTTATCAAATTTCAATATAGGATATGAATTCCAAGTGAGGCTCCATTCAAACAAGGGTGCATTACAAATAAACTGACATTCCACCCTGTTAATATTGATGGTATAAATAAATATTAATGGTTAACGAACAAGCAAATACCTATGTTAGGGTATTAAGCATAGAGGAGGAGCTGCACTGACTCAGCCTGAAACCCTATCTAGTCAGTTTTTTGTTTGCATAGTGGCCCATTGAAGATCACAAGCAGAACACGAGTGGAATAGCACCCTCTCACTCATATTCCAACAGGTGTATCAAGACATGCTGCCTCTTATACTGAAATCAATAGTTAGTCATCATGACTGCTAGTCATTGATAGACTTCCAGCATGGATGGCGACCTTGATAACTGCCCTATAATCCTGAGGCTGCAGTCCTAGAATGCCTCATTACATTTGATGAGAATTTATTTAGCATAGGATTTCATAGTTAATCTATAATCTATTACTTTATATCATTTAGGGATTAGTTTAAAGCATACATTTTGACCACTTTGGAACTTCCTGTAGGCATCTAGTTCAGCATTCTATTCATAGTGACCAACCAGAGCTATGGGAAGCCTACAGCAGGATATGAATGTAATAGTGCTCTCCTATTCATGTTATCTGGCAATTTCTATTGAGATTCATACTGTCCCTGGAGGTATTATACAGCCATCAGGACTAGTAGTCATTTATTTATCCTTCATAAATCTGTCTAATCTCCTTTTAAAGCTGACCAAGTTAGTAGCCATCACTACATCTTGTGAAAGCAATTTTCATTGTTTAACCATGCTCTGTATGAAGAATTATGCACTTCCTTTTATCTGTTATGACTCCCTCACCATTGAGCTTTCTTGGATGACCCTCGATTCTACCATTGTGAGGAAAAAAACATAGTTTTTTATTCCTCTGCCATTCTAAGTTCATCAGATCATCACCTCTGCCATTCTTAATTTGGTGTGAATTCAAAAGGTAAATGTTGCATTTGTGTTCAGGCTAAGGATTACATCTTAAAAGCTATTGAGCACCAATGAAGTCTGATCCAGTTAAGACATAAGGCTTGTCTGCTTCAAAACATCTGTTCGAAGGTTTCCAAGAGGCTCAAATATGCATAGCTCCCACTGACCCAATCTAAATTTAGAGATCATGTTTCTGGTCATTTTTAATCCTTTTCTCAGTTCATAAGAATAACGAGATTGCATAAGTATTGACACAGTGAAATATATAAGTACATACAATATCAAGTAAATATTTAAATTGCTTGGGGGAGAAACACCACAACTGATAACATCTAATATTTATACAATTCCCAAAGTTTACTGCCAACATTAACTAAATCATTGTGACAAGTTAACTTGCAGGGAATGGCATCTCAAATTCACAGATAAAGAAAACACACCTAAGGGATGCAGTCATGTCAGCTTATATTTATACCCCTAAAACAATTTTTCAAATGGCAGTTGTTCCCCATTACAACTGAACAATATTCTTTAAGAAATGGCATTTTAAAGTAATAAAAAAGATTTTGAATATTTCTGTCACATAAAATAGCTAGGTTAAAACATGAATGTTGTCAAGGCCACTGAAAGCTGTGATGTAAGTATAAAATGCTAATTCTAATTTTGAAAACAAAATACACCATTATTACCTACTATTGATTAATTGAATTTATTAATTCTATTCATTTTCAATGAAATAAACCAAGATCATATGTAACAACAAATGAATTCTAATTGTTTATACGAACCTTGCATCTGGTAACTGTATGGAGCCTGTCCTGGCTGGGGAGTACCGAATGTTGTGCCATAACTCAGAAAGCCTGTCTGCCCAGGTGCCTGTGTTTGTGACAATCCACCTTCTGTCTTGATGCCTGCCCACAATGCACCTAAATCAGTTAGTGACAGCAAAGCTATTTGTTCATATTTAAACACTTAGAGGGAAATAAATGAATTGCACACATTTTCATGCATACACATCCATAATTCAGCTTAACTGCAGGACCTAATTTAAAATGATACAATCTTCCCCCTTTCTCTTAAATCCAGCATCTAAATGTTGCTTTAAATTCAATATCAATCATAATATTATGAGATACATACGGAAAAACCAATGGCTCTACTGTTTATGGATGCCCAGAAAGCCTTTGATAATGTTAATTGGCAATTTATGAAGCAACAGATGGCTCAAATGGAGTTTGGTGAAAAGTTTATGAATGCGATAACTAGCATTTATCAAAGACAATCGGCCAGGATTTTAATTAATGGAGAACTTACAAGAACTATAGAGATACAAAAGGGTACAAGACAAGGATTCCCGTTGTCACCCCTGTTGTTTATTCTGATTTTAGAGGTGTTGAATAGAAATGTCAGGATGACGCGGACATTAAAGGTACTAGAATTAGGGATGAAAGTTATAAATTGCAAGCATTTGCAGATGATTTGGTTTTCATAACAGAGGAACCCTTTGTAACAATGCCTAAACTCCTACAATGGATTGAAGAATATGGTGAGGTTACGGGGATGAAAATAAATACAGAAAAAATGAAATTGTTAGTTAAAAATCTCACACAAGACCAGAAAAAATGTCTGCAGGAACAAGTAGACTTGAAGATTGTTAAAAAAGTTAAGTATCTGGGAATCTATCTTACAGCCAAGTGTACTACTTTGAAAGAAGACAATTACGACAAACTATTGAAGGATATTAAGGGTGATCTGGAAAAATGGGCCAATTTATAATTATCTTTGATGGGAAGAATAGCACTTGTTAAAATGAATATATTACCTAAGTTTTTGTTTTTATTTCAAATGATTCCCGTAAAAATTGATAATTTGTTTTTTGATGATTTAAATTTTCAAATTTCAAGATTTATTTGGAGAAAGAAGAAACCAAGGATTAACTTAAAAATACTTCAAGAAGCTAAAAAGAACAGTGGTTTTGGTCTTCCTGATTGGATTGTTGTACTACCAAGCGTCTGTTTTAACTTGGCTAAAAGAATGGATAACTTTGGGAAATAAGAGAATTTTGTATCTTGAAAGTCATGATTTGCAAATGGGTTGGCAGGCTTATATGTGGTATGAGAAGGCTAAGTCACATGAGTCTTTAAGTCACTTTATTAGAAGATCATTTATGTCAATGTGGGAAAAGTTAAAGCTAAAATTGTATAATAAACTACCAAGATGGCTTTCACCTATGGAAGCCTTTGTGTATCCAAATGCATTGAACTTTGAAGGGATCATAAGATATGACGATAAGGATGGAGGCCTGAAATTAGATCAAGAAACACAAGAACAGGGATTTAATATCTCTTGGTGGCATAAGGTGCAGATGCAATCGAGATATGCTAAAGACTGTAAAACATGGGGGGTTTATAAGGACTTAACAGCGTTTGATCAAGTGATGCTTAAATCAGATGAGAAAATGATTAAAAGATTATATGATTTTTTACTTGACAGGAAAATGGAAGATGAACAGGTTAAAGAAACTATGATAACATGGGCACAAAATTTTGGATATAATATTGAATTAGAAAAGTGGCAAAAGCTATGGGAGAGAAATATTAAGGTAACATTAGCAATTTTGTATAAAGAAAATTTATATAGAATGTTTTATATATGGTATCTGTCACCAAATCGATTAGCTAAGATGTTTCCGAATATGTCAAATGGATGTTGGAAATGTAAACATAAATTGGGTACTTTTTACCATATGTGGTGGACTTGTGACAATGTGAAAAAGTATTGGATTAAAATACATAAATGGCTTGAGGAAATGCTACAAAAACCCTTAGCTTTCAAACCTGAAGTTTTTTTATTAGGCATTATACCAAAAGATATTAGTAAACAAGAAATGTATTTGATGTTACATGTAATCACCGCGGCGAGGATTGCATTTGCTCAACACTGGAAAAGTGAGGAATTATCCACCAATGAACTGATTCTAAAAAAGATTCTGGACTGTGCAGAAATGGATAGATTGACTTTATCACTGAAGGAGAAAGAAGATACTGACTTTTATCAAACTTGGGATTTTTTTTTATTATTGGCTAGAGAAACGGAACTTGGCTTAGATTTAAAGATGTTTTTAAGTTATTATAAATGCATTTGAATATGACTATAAAATGTTAAAAAATATGAGTAGGGGGATTACCCAGTACGTCCGATGTATTTGATGATTGATGTTTAAAAATCTTAATAAAATTTAAAAAAATCAATATCAATGAGTGTTACATAGAAATAGACAGTAATCTATCCCCCAAATCCTGTGCATCTCTACTCAGAAGCAATTCCAACTGTGTTAAATGTACTTGACTGAGTTTTTCCCATGGAGACTTAATTTATTTATTTATGTAGGTGCGGTTTGGCCATGTCTGTACTGGGTGTTGTTGCCTGCAGTTTTGCAACCTATGTTCCACACCAAGTTCCAGGTTCTCAGTGGCTACAGTGGGATTTTGCATCTCCACAAAGGGGAGTGGTCCATAACAGAATGTACCTTCAGTTACTTCCCTGTCCCTGTACACCTCCATCCCCACTGCACCTTTTCTCTATTCTGGACATGCACATTGGTGAGTGTAAATTGCTTGTGCACACTGCTTTAGCACTGCTTAGCATATGATCAGCATTCATCTTATGTATGCATGCATACTACAAAGTTAACCAAGTGATTCCCGTACTGCATTCCAAAAGTAATTCAGCAAGGAAAACACGAATTGGCTGCTAATATCATTTTGAAGTGCTCCAAGAGGAGTGTGCAACTTTCCTTTTTCAAGACTGAGCTGACTCCCCTCTCACTCAGCAGCGAAAGAAAATGAGTTGGGTGGGAACCAGTTCCATCACTACCATTGCACATTTAAACCTTGTTACATTTGTATTTATACAACTCACACAAATCTGTTTTTAGAATACCACTAACAAACTTTTTAAAAAAACCAAGGTAACTGAAGCACAAAACTTCAGTACTCATACTAAATATATTGTATCCCAAGAGTAAAGCAGTAAAAGAAATAATTAAGTGGTAGCCAATGCCATTTTGAAGAGTAGGGACCTAAAGGGCATGGCTGTATAAAAGGAAACACACAGCAAGCAATGAGGAAAGAAGAAGCATCTGCAGTATGTCTTCCACCTTCCCCAGGGAAACCTGCTCTGACCCTGGTTCGAATCTTCATTTTTCTGTCCATAGCATCAAAGAAAAGATGTGACTTTTGCTCTTTTAGTCCTTAATGGATCTTCCTTGTTAGGAAAACTGCTGGGAAACCAAGGGCAGATTACAAGGATTTTCATCTGAGTAAACATGTGCAGGATTGGATGACCACACTTTTTTTCTAGAACTTATTATGAATGTTTAAATTTGTTTATCCTGATGTTTTGCATTTGGAAGACAGAGTGCAGTGTCTTACAATATGGAATGTAATATACTTAAAAACTAAGTATTTTGCTCAGTATTTTTTGATGTTAAAAAATTAACATCAAAAAAGGCACAAATTGAAAAACAATACAATCAAAACGCATCCAAGTAAAAATGATTTAGATTTCATGGGATACATCTTAAAATACTGATAAATCCTCAAACACAGAAGTTTATGAGCATACTACACAGAAACTGTTGAGGCTATCTATTTTTTTTGCTTTGCAGGAGGAAGAAAGGAGACGGCAGAGAACATAGGATTGAGATTTTAGTAAAAATTTGACCTTGCTCATTGGAGTCTGGCTGTTTGTCCTTGCTGGCACATACCAACTGCATTCTTTTGGTGCTGCATAATTAGTGTAACCCTAGTGAAGATCCTTCTGTGTGATCATGAGTAGGAGAGACAAATTGAGTCAGCCCAGCCAGGAGCAGGAGAGAATCTATGGAATGGAAAAGTCCTGTGGCTTGGAATTGATATTGTTCCAAATTTTACAGGTCCAAGCTGCATTTCAACCAAAAGGATCCCTTTTCTGCATTTATCTGTGGAAGAAGAGGACTTGTATAGAGCTAAAGACTCTGAAAGCAACTTGTGGGGTTTTCTGAATTCATTTCTCCTACAGAACCTCTGTGCAACCTTTTTGTTTGTATGTAGGCAACCTTAGGCAACTGGAATAGTACTCTTGTACTCTGAAAAAGTGCATGCCACAAACTGTTTTGTTTTATAGGTTTCTGATTGTGTGGGTATGTAAAAATATTTGATCTTCTTGTTTGTTTTCTTAATGCAACAAGTTTTCAGAGTCACACCAAGTAAAATATCTGAATGAATCTGTGACCTATACTAGTCAGTTGGTGGGCTTATGAGGGCAAA